TCCTTTGCAGGCTGGGCTAGATGCTGGAAGTGAGACCCTGCTCTAAACTAGGGGTCTGAGCCACACCTCTGTTGCTGCTACTGGCTTCTGAATTTCCTTTTCTTTTAGTACACTGTGCCACTTCCAGTTTTTCCCCCTACCTCTGTCACTCAGTAACCTCTCTTCCTTCCAGGTTCATGCTATTTATATCCACCATCTGTCAAAATTGTGGTAGCTGTTTTCTACAGACTCCAGATCACACCCCTTCCTCAATGACTATGATACATGGCTCACAATTTTTCTCCCCTCCTCAGCTCCTGCCCTCTTATTAGGAGACTTCATCATATAAATTAGGTATCTCTCAAACACCCTAACCACTCAGTTCCTCAAACTGCTCACTCCCCATGAGTTATTCCTCCAACCCTACCTCAGCAACACACAAAGATGGCCATTCTCTTGTCATCACCAAAAATATACCTCTGTGTTGAAGAATTTAGAAATCCCCTTATCTGACCGTGATCTATTGACTTTTTTCACCTCTTTCCCTTCTCTTACCAAACCCCACTCTTTGTCAACACTGTGACCTTCGATCTCTTGACCCCTCAGTTCTCTCCCAGGCCATCTTCCCTATACTAGCCACTCTTTCCTTTTTTCTCCATTTTGACACCTTGGTGAACCAGTTTACCTCTGCACTGACCTCTCCTCTTGAATCTCTAGCCCTTTTATCATGTTACCAGTTATGCCTGGGCAAGTCTTAGTCTTGGATCACTCCACTCCTACACATGTGCTGCTGAACATAGATGGAGAAAATCACGTAACCATTCTGACTGGGTCCACTACAGATGTACACTACACAATCTCAACTGGGCCCTCACCTTTGCTGGATAATCTTGTTATGCCTCCTTTATCCACTCATTCTCCCCCTCTCCACAGTGGCATTTCCAAACATTTTCTTCTCTCCTAAAAGTTCTCATGGCTCTCCCTCCCCATACTCTCAGTGGAGAACCTTGCCTCATATATTACAGAAAAAATTGAAGCCATTCTTCTCCCCTCTTCTTCATCTTCTATCACTCAGGTACATTCTGTCACTCTCTCCTCCTTCACCCCAGTCTCACATGAAATAAACTTACTTCTTCCCAAAGTTAACCCTGTTCAGGTGATCCTATTCCATCCTATCTCTTCCAATATATTCTGACCTCTATCATCCCCACTCTGTCACTTATTCTTTACTGCCTACAAACATTCCCATGTCTTTCCTATCTTGAAAAAAAAACTCATTTGATCCTTCCATCCTTGCTAACTATCATCCTATTTCTCTTCTGCTCTTTGTAGTTAAATTCCTCAAAAAGGCCAGTACAATAGGTGCTTCCACCTTCTCTCTTCTCATTCTTTCCTTAACCCCTATAGTCTGTCTTCTGACCTTATCATTCCACTGAAACTGCTCTCTCCAGAGTTTCTTTTGATCTCTTAGTTGCCAAATCTAATGGCCTTTTCTCAATCCTAATTTTCCTTGACCTCCGTACAGGCTTTGACACTGTTGATCACTCTCTTCTCCCTGTTACTCGCTTCTCTCTGAGTTTTCAGGATATCACTCTCTCCTGGTTCTCCTGTCTATGTGAATGTTTCTTCTCTATCTCCTTTGCTGGATCTACATCCAGATGAGACCATCTAACCATAGTGGTCCCTGAAGATTTGGTCCAGGACCCTTTTTTCTTTTCCCTGTATATTACTTTATTTGGTCATTACATAAGTTCTTATGGATTTAATTACCATCTCTACGCTGAAGATTTTTAGATCACCTAGATTGACCCAAACTCTTTGCCAACATCCAATCTTACATCTGCAACGGCCTTTTAGACGTCTTGAAGTGAATATCCAGTAGACATCTTAAATTCAGTATGTCCTAAATGTTACTAATTTTTCCCACTACACCTACCCCCTATCATCACCCACCTCTTATCTTCCTCATTACTGTAGAGGGCAAAACTACCATCCTAGTTCCTCAGGCTCACATTCTGGACTTCTCCATCTCTCTCACCCCTCATCATTCAATATATTGCCAAGATCTGTCATTTTTACCTTTGCAACATCTCTTGAATATTCCCCATTCCTTCCTCTGACACTGCCTGGCCCTCATGCCTGGATTCCTGTAATCGGCTGGTAGGTTTGTCTGCTGCAGGTCTCTCCTCACTTCAGTCCATCCTCCATTCAGCCACTAAAGTGATTTTCCTAAAGCACAAGTCCAATCATGTCATCCTTAAACCCAATAAACTCCAGTGGCTCCCTATGAACTCCAGTTTGGCCATTGAAAGACCTTCATAACTTAGCCCCTTCTTACCTTATCTCTGACACGTACTCCTGACTATTCCATAAACAAGATACTCCAATCTCTCAACTCTGGGCAATTTCTCCTGCTGTTCCTGGAATGCTTTCCCTCCCCAACTCTACCTCCTGATTTCCCTGGCATCCTTTAAGTCCCAACTAAAATTCCATCTGAACTACAAAGCTGCTTAGTTGGTACCTATTCTCACTGTGGTGCCCTGGTATGAATCTGGCAGAGCCCCAGTATGGTCTAGGTATCTACTCTTATGCTGATGCAAAGCCTCTTTCTACAGTGGTCTGCAGAATGTGTTCCTGCTCCACCCTAATCCCCACAGTCCACAGACTGTTTCCCCATGCTGAGCTGGGCTGGACAAGTGACTCTCTGTGACTTCTTTTAGATTTCCTCATCAGCATTCAGTCTAGTGCACTTTCTAGAGCTGTTTGGAGGAATTTGTGGAGGAGAGCCCACTGGAATGTTTTCTAACATTCCAACATCTTCGCTCTTCTTCCTTCATGAGGTTAATATAAGAGAGGAGCCAGGACTAAAATCTAGATCTTTTAACTCTTATTATAGTGCTCATTCCACTGCACCAGCTGCCATTCTAAGCGTGTAGAATATAAAAGTATAATAGAACTGTTTGAATGATTCATTTGTTGTTGTTGTTGTTTTAAATCTGAGACTGTTATAGCATGAGAGGGCACAGAGGGATTGACATCTGCTTTTACACTCAAAAGAATGTAAGCTTCTGGAGATAAGAATCTGTTTAATTTTTTTTTTTTGTCTTTACATTCCTGGTGCCTGGCACATAATAAGTGTTTAACGCTTGGTAATTATTGGTGGAGTGAGTTCAATAAGATATGGATCCTTCAAAATATCAAGAGAAAATGCAGGACTTCATTAATAATTATAGAATTTTATTCTTAATAGTTAATTACATGTAATAGGTAACCTGATATCTGTGGTTTTTAGAACCACAACACTACAGTATAATAAATGTATGGTAAAGATACAAAGTAAAAGGCTTGTTCTTATAATAATTCTTTTTATTTTTTCACAATTCTTAGAAAGCTGTTAAAATATCAAGGGAGATGCTTTTCTGAGTTATATTTGTTTTGCTTTGAATAGAGTTCTTAGTATTGTAAGAGGACATAGTAATGGTAAATGTCTGACCAAATTTAAGGATATATTTAAGGGTAGCATGTATTTTCTATTTTATTTTCTCTTTATTTGTGGTTTTTGTCTCAGGGTTGTTATGAAGAAATTAGAATATACACTATATGTGTTTTGAAGATAATAAGCATTTAATTAATGGTTTTTTTCCATTCTTATGTAAAACATTGTTCAGCCAATATAATTCTATAGAAATTATAAATGTGAACTGGTTGATAGCAACACATTTCATTAATGTTGCTATTAATACTATTAATAAAGTATGTTTCAAGTAAAATACATAGAATAATTTTTCTCTCAGTCTAGTATATTATAGGCTGCTATACAAGGTTTTTGATCTCCATAATTACTACACTGTGATCAGTATCATAGAATTCAGAATAATTTCTTCAGTTAAATTTTGGCTAACACATTTGATGAATATTTTCTTTTTTTTTGCTGAGGCAATTGGGGTTAAGTGACTTGCCCAGATTCATACAACAAGTGAGTGTTATATGTCTGAGGCCAGATTTGAACTCAGGTCCTCCTGAATCCAGGGCCAGTGCTCTATCCACTACACCACCTAGCTGCCCCCATTTGATGAAATTTTAAGGCAGATTTGGGGAAACTGAGTGGTTTTTTTTGAGAAGTTGATTGAGGAACATGTATTTTGCTGCCCTCTTTTCTCACTGTAAATCTCCCTATAACTTAGAGATCAAGTTGATCTTCCTTTGTTTTGAGAACAAAAAGTCCTTTTTTTGTTTTTTTGCTTTCCTTACCACAATATTATCAGCTCAAATAGCTTAAAATTCATGAAATAACTCTTAATTGTTGCTTCTCAGTATAAAAGAAAATCCCAGAGTTTGAATATTGGACAATTTGACAATATACAATACCGAGTTTGATCCTAAATTCACAAAATCAGATGTTTTTCCATTTGAGATAAGTGTCCAGTACATTGTTATATAATGGTGGCTTATAATCTTGGTTAAAACACTTAAAGTTTTTTGTTGTTGAATTTTTTTTGTTTTGTTTTGTTTTGGCAAACATTGGGATTTTTTAAAAGGTCTGACCAAGATGACTTTTGACTTTCCTCACAAAGAAATTTATATAGGATATGTTTGTTTTATTAATGGAAGCAGTATTATAGTTTATGCGTTGGGGGAGGAAAGGTTTTGTTTTATATTGTTTTTGTAGTAAAGAAAATTTGTGTTAAGAAAACCTGATTTGGAGACATTGTTACCATAAAAACACCTCACTAAGATAATAGTTGTTCCTGTGGTGACATTAAGAAAGCTCTATGGCCGCTTCTAGATCTTGGGATTTGATATTTTGATTCAGACTCAAAATGTTACTTACACATGCAAATATTGGACATAAGCTGCTGTAAAGTACCTACAATCAAAGACAACTCTCCAAAAGAGTAATTTTTACTTAACTGGATGTGGTCTATTGAGGTACATGTTATTAAAATTGAATATTTTGGTGTAACTTAAGAAAAAGCCTTTTAGGGGCAATTGAAATTTTTATAACTTTTTTTCTTTCATAGGCTCAAACTCAAGACATAGTTCCAACAATAGGATTCAGTATAGAGAAATTCAAGACATCCAGGTAACTCAATTTTATTATAAACTGATGGTTATGGAATTTTTTCATTTATTTATTTTTAACATTCTTTTTTTAAAATTTTGAGTTCCAAATTCTCTCTCTCCAGCAATATGATGTCACTTATGCCATGTAAAATCATGAGAAATATATTTCCATATTAGCCATGTCACTAGAAATAAAAAGTGAAAAAGTTATACACATTGTAGGTCTTCCCAGATTTTTCTGAAACCATCCTGCTCTTCATTTTTTATAACACCATAGTATTCCATCACAATGTTATACCGCAACTTGTTGAGCTGTTCCCCAATTGATGGGCATCCCCCCAATTTCCAATTCTTTGCCACCACAAAAAGAGCTGCTATAAATACTTTTGTACATATAGATTCTTTTCCTTTTACTTTGCTCTCTTTGGTTTATAAACCTTTAGTAGTATTACTTGGTCAAAGGATTTGCAGTTTGATGGCCCTTTGTGCATAGTTCCAAATTGTTCTCCAGAAGGTTGGACCAATTTACAATGCATTAGAGTACTTGTTTTTCCACATCCCCTTCAGCATTTGTCATTTTTGTTTTCTGTCATGTTAACCAATCTAATAGGTATGAGGTGGTATCTCAGAGTTGTTTTAATTTGCATTTATCCAGTTAATAGTGATTTAAGGCATTTTTTCATGTGATCTTAGATAGCTTTGATATCTTCATCTGAAAACTGCCTGTTCATATCCTTTGACCACTTATCAACTGGAGAATGGTTCTTATTTTTATAAATTTGACTCAGTTCTCTATATTTGAGAACTTTTATCAGAGAAACTTGCTTTAATTTTTTTTTTTAATATTACTTCATTGTCTACGGTGCCTTTTAGCAAAATGTTGTTTCCCTAAAATATATCTTTTAATTAGGTCTGTTCTTGCTTTTGCTTTGTCTGAGAGCATTATGGCCACTCCTGATTTTTTTTACCTCAGCTGAAGCATAATAGATTCTGCTCCAGCCCCTTATTTCAATCTTTATGCATGTCTTTCTGTTTTAAGTGAGTTTCTTGTAAAAAAAAAACATATTGTTGGATTCTGGTTTCTAGTACAGTCTGCTATCCACTTCCATTTTATGGGTGAATTCATCCCATTCACATTCACATTTATGATTACTAGTTTCCCTCCATCCTGTTTTCTTCTATTTATCCTTCTCTCTCTCTTTTTTATCCTTTCCCTTCTCTAAATTCTGTTTTGTTTCTGACCATTGCCTTCTTTTATCTGCCCTCCCTTCTATCACCTCCCTCTTCTTTTATCCCTTTTCCTTATTACTTCCTTATGGGTTAAAATAAATTCCTATTATCAAATATGTGTGTGTATTTATTTATTCTGCCCTCTTTGAACCAATTCCAATGAGAGTGAGATTCATGTTGCGCATCCCCCTCTAATTTTCCCCTCCACTGTAAAAGTCCTTCTCTGCATGCCTCTTTTATGTGCGATAATTTTTCTCATTCTTCATTTCCTTTCTTCCTCCTTCTAGTGCATCCCTCTTTCTTATACCTTCATCTTTTTTTAGGTCATCCCAACATGATGGACTCACACCTGTGCCCTCTGTCTATGTAGACTCCTAACTGCCCTAGTAATGACATAGTTCTTAGTTAGTTACACATACCATTTTCTCATATAAGAATGTAAACACTTTAAGCTTATTACTTCTCTTTTCATGTTTACCTTTTAACCTTCTCTTGAGTCTTGTGTGTGAATGTCAGATTTTCTATTCAGCTCTGGTTTTTTCATTAGGAATATTAGAGATCCTCTTCTTCATTAAATATTCTTTTTTTTTCCCCCTGAAGGATTATACTCAGTTTTGTTGGTTGTAATCCTTACTCCTTTCCCTTCCAGAATATCATATGCCAGACCCTCAGCTCCTCTAAAATGGAAGCTGCTAAATCTTGTTTAATCCTGATTGTGGCTCCATGACACTTGAATAGTTTCTTTCTGGTTGCTTACAATATTTTCTCTTTGACCTGGAAGGTCTAGAATTTGGCTATAATATTCCTGGGAATTTTTGTTTTGGGGATCTCTCTCAGGATGTAATCCATGGATTCTTTCAATTTCTGTTTTACCCTCTGGATCTAAGATGTCAGAGCAGTTTTCCTTGATAATTTCTTGAAATATGATGTCTAGGCTCCTTCTTCAATCAAGTAGCCCCATAATTCTTAAATTATCTCTCCTTAATTTGTTTTCCAGGTCAGTTGTTTTTCCAATGAAATCTTTTACATTTCTTCTATTTTTTCATTCTTTTGACTTTATTTTATTGTTTCTGAAGTTTTATGGAGTCATTAACTTCCATTTGCTCAATTCTAATTGTTAAGGAATTCTTTTCTCTAGTGAGCTTTTTCACCTCTTTTTCTGTTTGACCAATTCTGCTTTTTAAAGGAATTCTTTTCTTCAGTGAATTTTTGTGCCTCTACCATTTAGCTAATTCTGGTTTTTAAGGTGTTATTTTTTCAGTATTTTTTTGTGCCTCCTTTACCAAGCTGTTAATTCCCTTTTCCTAATTTTCTTGTATCGTTCTCATTTCTTTTCCCAATTTTCCCTCTACTACTCTTTTCTCTTTCTTTAATTCTTCCAGGAATTCTTGATGGTCTTGTCCCCAATTTGCATTTTATTTTCCTTTTCATCTTTGCTTATAGCTGGTTTTGTTTTTGTTTTTGTTTTTAGGCAATTGGGGTTAAGTGACTTGCCCAGGGTCACACAGCTTGTGTCAAGTGTTTGGTCTGAGACCGGATTTGAACTCAGGTCCTTCTGACTTCAGGGCCGGTGCGCTATCCACTGTGCCACCTAGCTGCCCCTGCTTACAGCTGTTTTTACTTTCTTTGCTTCTTCTGAGTTTATGTCTTGATCTTCCCTCTCACTATCGTAGCCTTTTTTGGTCATGTTGTTTTTTGTTATTGGTGGTGTTGTTGCTCATTTTTCTAGCCTGTTTCTTGACTTTGGATTTTATGTTAAAGTTGGGTTCTGCTTACCTGGGATGGGGAAGCACTGTCCCAAGCTTCAGGTTTTTATGCATTGCTGTTTTTCAAAACTAATTCTGGGCATCTGCAAGTTTTTGGTGCTTCCAAGGTGGCATTATTCTGGGAGAGTTGTGGTCACTGTTTTCCTGGTCTGTTCTCTGGTCTTTACTCTGGTCTCCTGAAACCACAAAGTGCTATTGCTCCTCTCCACCCTGGAACTGCAATCCAGAACTGCAGTGGCAGCAATGGACTTGTCAAACAGAGCCTGGTCATGTGCCCAGTGTTAGCTCAGGGTCCCCTGTAATCTTTTTGACTATTTGTCCAATCTCCTTTCCATCTCTGGGCTGAGAGCTCCCAAAGCTGCTGCTGTTGCTGCTGCATTTGCTGTTGCTGTCATAGCCTCCTCCAGTGCCCACAGCTGTTGTTGCAGCTGCAGAACTCCAGGCTGGCCCCCACCCAAATGTCATAGATCTCTCCTGCCAACTTCCTAAGTTGTCCTAGGCTGCAAAAATGTCTCACCCCAACCTTTTGTTGTTTCTGCCCCAATAATATTTGATTTGAGGCTTTATCTTCATGTTATTTAGAGGAAACAGTTGGGAGAATTTAGCTGGGTTGCTGCTTCTATGTTGGTTTTGCCAGTGGTTATAAAATTTGGTGAGAAATATAACCTGAGGGCTTCTGCTTCTGGGAGCCAAGATGGCAGAGTAAAAAGGTAGTCACTCTCACCTTCCCCTATCAACCTCTGAAAACCCAGAAAATATCACCCCAGGAAAAAAAAACCTGGAACAGCTGAACTAGAAGAAAGATGGGGAACAGCAATGCAGCAGCCCAGCAAACGGGTCTCCCAGTGCCTCATCAGAAATAAGGGAAGCAGCACTACAAAGGGCCCCAGGCAGATAAGCACCCTGCAGCATTCATCTGAAAGGAGCTGAAGAAAGTAACCTAGAGTCTTCCTAAAGTCCCAGCCTTGCTGATTCCAACCCAACACCAGGTAAGCTGTCAGAACCCTACAGCCTCCAACTGTCAACCAGGAGGAGATCCTGAAGCCCAGGTGGTAGAGCAGGCAAACACCAACACCTGGACCTCCAAGTGCCTCAGTGAGGGCGAGGGAACTGACGGAAACCAACTCAGAAAACCACCAGGTGCCTCGGCACTCTACCACAAAGGAATCTCCCAGTGCATAAGCAGAAATGAAGGAGGCAGCATTGCAAGGGGCCCCAGGCAGATGAACACCCTGCATCTAAAAGGAGCTGAAGAAAGCTAAAGGAAAGGAAAAGCAGGCAACCTAGAATTGCCCGAAAGTTCCAGACTTGCTGATTCCAGCCCAACATGAGGTAAGCTGCCAGAACCCTACAGCCTACAATTGCCAACATAAGAGGCCCCAGCACACAAAGCCAGTGACCAAGACCTAGGCTCCCAACACAAGAAGCTTGGGTCAGTGCCCTTTGTTCCCCAGCAGGAGAGCTCAATCTCTTTAAAGTCCAAGGAATAAAGAAACCATGAGTAAAAAAAAAAAACATACCAAAGATTCATATTATAAGAAGACTGAAAATCAAGACAGAAATTCTGAAGAGGACAACATTGTCAACAAACCCACATCTGCAACATCAAAAGGGAATATGAACTGGTCTGAAGCCCAAAAAGCCTTCTTAGAAGAGCTCAAGAAGGATTTTAAAAGTCTAATGAGAGAGGTAGAAGAGTCCTTAAAAAATACAATTGGCCAATTGGAAAAAAAGTACACTGAAGAAAACAAATCCCTTAAAAATACAATTGGCCAATTGAAGAAGGAAGTACAAAAACTAACAAGAAAACAATCTGTTAAAAACTAGAATTGGACAAATGGAAACTAATGACTCTATGAGAGAGCAAGAATCAGTCAAACAGAAACAAAAAAATGAAAAAATAGATGAAAACTAAAATACCTCATGGTAAAACAACTGACCTGGAAAATCGATCAGGAGAGACAATTTAAAAATTATTGGACTACCTGAAAATCATGATGAAAAAAAGAGCCTGGACAGTATCTTTCAGGAAATCATAAAGGAAAACTGCCCTGAAGTCCTAGAACCAGAAGGTAAAATAACCATAGAAAGAATACACCGCTCACCACCTGAAAGAGATCCCAAATTGACAATGCCAAGGAATATAATAGCAAAATTCCAAAATTACCAGATGAAAGAGAAGGTGCTGCAAGCAGCCAGAAAGAAACAATTTAAATATCATGGAACCACAGTCAGGATTACACAGGACCTTGCAGCTTCTACATTAAAAGACCACAGGGCATGGAACATGATATTCTGTAAGGCAAAGGAGCTTGGATTGCAGCCAAGGATCAACTACCCTGCAAAAATGAGCATGATTTTTCAAGGGAAGGGATGGATATTCAACGAAATAGGGGACTTCCAAACCTTCCTGATAAAAAGACCAGAGCTCAACAAAAAATTTGATCTTCAAGTACAAGATTCAAGAAAGACATAAAAAGGTAAATGGGACAGAAAGATACAAAATGTTGTTAATAAGGGGGACTGTTTACATCCTACAAGGGAAGATGACACTTGCAACTCTTGAGAACTGTATTGTTATTACACCATGTTAAAGGAGTATACATAAAGGGGTGGATATTAGTTGACTTTGATGTAATGATAAAAAAAGATCTAATCAAGTGGTTAAATGGATCCAAGTAAGTGGATTAGTCTGATCTTAGAAAATGTACTGAGAAAGGAGGAGGCAGACAAGGGTAAATTACATTACAGGAAAAGACAGAAAATCCTATTACAGCAGAGGGAAAGAAGGGAGGGGGTGAGCATTGTTTGAACCTTACTCTCATCAGATTTGGCTCAAGAAGGGAATAACATAATCAGTTAGGTATAGAAATCTAACTTGACATATAGGCAGTAGGAGGGAAAGGGGGAAAGAAAAGGGAGTGGGGGTAGAGGGGAGGGAAGAAGTAGTAAGGGCAAAGGGGAAGAAAAGGGAAAGGGATAATAGAAGGGAAGAGAGACTGAAGGAGGTGGTGGTCAAAAGCAAAACACTTGGGGGGGGGAGAAAGGAGAAAGAAAAGCATAAACAGGGAAAAAAGGATGGAGAAAAAGACACAGATAGTAACCATAACTGTGAAAGTTGAATCGCTATCTTTTTTTTTCTCTTCTGTTGAACTTTGTTTCCTCTTTCTGATGGTTCCTCCTATTGGTTTTACTTACAACTTCACTAATGTGAAAATGTTCAATAGCAATGTAAACGTATAGGCTATATCAGATTGTGTGCCGTCTTGGGGAGGGTGATGGGGAGGAAAGGGAGAAAAATTTTAAACTCAAAAGCATATGGAAGTGATTGTTGATAAATCAAAATAAATTAATAAAATTTTTTAAAAAGAGAGAAATATACCCTGAAATCCAAATTCACATTCCTTTATCAGTTTTGAGAATTCAGGATCCCAGTGTACTCCTGGTTTTTATTTGCTTCACGTTAGTTTCAAAAAAATTTCTAATTGTATTGTTATTTGAAATTATAAATGATTAATAAATCTCAATTACTACATTTTTCTTCCAAAACAAATAATTTGAAAACTATCAAATGGTGGAGTTCATTTAATTTTTATTATACATTAGCATTAAAATTAATTCTGGTAACTTGACTAGTAAAAGATCATTTCTTTTTATATTCCGTATTGTACAAAGCCATGTCTACTAGCAATATTCATCCCATTTCACTGTCAGTTTATTTAGGTAGAAAATTAAAACTTCTTCAGTTTAAAGCTTTCATCCAAGAGTTATTATTTATTTATTTATTTGATTTTTGCTTTTTTTAGGCAATTGGGGTTAAGTGACTTGCACAGGGTCACATAGCTAGTAAGTGTCAAGTGCTTGGACAGAGGTCTGATTTGAACTCAGGTCCTCCTTACTTCAGGGCTGATGCTCTATCCACTGCGCCACCTAGCTGCCCCGAGTTATTTTTTAATTAAAAAAAATTAACTACATTTCCAATTCTTTTTCAGTTTGTCTTTCACAGTATTTGACATGTCAGGTCAAGGGAGATATAGAAACCTATGGGAACATTATTACAAGTAAGTAAATTCTCAGTTTCCATAGAATTTTATACCTCCTTTATGTGCTTAATATCCTATTTTGTATTATTTTGGACATATATACATATGTATATATATGTTGATACTGTTGTTAAGGATAAAGACTGTACCTTATTTTTCTTCATATTGCCCTCTATGCCAAACAGAGTTTGTCATATATAGTAAGTGCTTAAGAAGCATATGTAGAATTTGATTTGAATCAGTTATCAGTGTGAGTTGATGATGTGGATGTTTCTGTTTTAATAGCAAATCATAATAGATCACATAAATGTTAATTTTAATAGACTTGAATGGATTTGTGGCATTTGGTTTTAAATTCTCTCCTAATTTATATAATGTCTTAAGGGAAAGAGCATAGTTGTGATCTGCAAGATGATTCAGTAGTCAGGTAAATTCAATTTAATTTTTTTAAAAATTTATTAAGAAGCCCCTGTGTACAAAGTGCTACGCTCAGCACTGCTTTTATATTATGTATAATTGTGCTGGCTAAAAACTGTAATTACTGAGGGATTAGATTCTGATGTCAACTGGTATATACTGTACTACTGCCAAATAATAGTGGAAGCTCATATTTACGTAGTGTTTTAAGGTTTACAAAGTGTTTCCCCCCACAACAGCCCTGGGAGGTAGGTAGTGTAAATATTATTATCCCCATTTTACAGATGAGGGCACTGAGGCTTTCAAAGGTGAAGTGACTTGCCCAGGGTTACACAGCTAGTAAATGTCGAAGCCAAGATTCAATCCCAGGTCCTTCTGACTCCAGTTCAGTGTTCTTTCCACTACACCATGCTGCCTCTGTGTGAGTATGATATTACTATGCAGACATGTATATTGTCAGTTCTATGTTTTTTTTTTAATATTAATACTAACTTCCTCTTAGGCACTAATAATTTTATTGTGGTATTTGATAGAACAAGATGAACTAGGACAGATTTTTCCACTTGGTTAAAGTATGCCAAGTTCTTTTTTTCAAAATCCATTAAATGAGGAAATAATACATTTTAAAAATACACAGAAGAAAACACATTCAGGAGGGGACACAAAGCAATTTTGTTACCTTGTTACATTTAATATACACTTTAAAAGACAAACTAAACATAATAGAAATCCATGGTTTATATTTAAAAATCTACTAGATGAGAGAAATAGTCCACTTAGAAGTTTTATGTTTTAATTATAGATTGAGCAATATTTCTTTTGAAAGGTTTATCACATAATGTCATAGTGTCTTAGTTGAAATTACATACAATTGATTTTATGATATGTTTTTGTAAAGCTAGTCTTTTAGGAAACAACAAGCAACATAGAGGTATGATACAACATTGTTAAGGTATTGATTGTTTTGCTTTGGTGTACTTGAAATTTTTAGAGGTTTTTAATTACATTTCATTTTGGCCTATTTCGATATTCATATTCAAGAAATTGAGTAGCAAACTATTATCTGTAACTTTGCTACACAATTATAAAGTCAATCAACATTTTCATACTCTAATTGTCCCAAAATAAGGGAAACTATAAACTTTTTTTCTTTTAATTTTTGTTGCTATCTATTTCAGTGAAAAGGGCATAGGATTTGGAGTCAGAGAACCTGGGTCCAGATCCCAGCTTTGCCACTTACTTCTTGTGTGACCCGGAGTAAGTCACTTAATCTCTTAATTAGACTCTTAATCTAATGTGAGAGGGTTGTATTTGATGACTTCCAAGGTCTCTTCCATCTCTAAATCTATGAGTCTATGATAGCTACTTCTCTCATAAAACTATTCCTAATATCAAACAATATCAAGGAGAAAAAAGTTCACTGAAACTAACCAACATATCAACCGAATTCATCATTATATGTAGGATTCCCACCTACTGCCCCCTACCTTTGTAAAGAAGGTTAGGAGGTACATATAGTTTCATATCTTTCCTCAGAGCCAAGCTTGATCATTAAGCATAAGAAGTCAAAGAATTCTCAAAAAAGAAAAAAAAAGAATTGCAAACTATTAGCATATAAAAGATCACGTTTGGGCAGCTAGGTGGCACAGTGGATAGAGTACTGGCCCTGAAGTCAGGAGGACCTGTGTTCAAATCTGGCCTCAGACCAAACACATGACTCTTACTAGCTATGTGACCCTGGGCAAGTCATTTAACCTAATTGCCTTTAAAAAAAAAATCACTTCTGATCACTAATAATAAGAAAAATTCAAATCAACACAATTCTGAGGTTTTACCTAGAAAATCTGCAATGATGACAAAAGATGGGAATAGTCCAAACATTCTGGAAAGTAATGTGGAATTATGCCAATAAAATGACCAAAATGTCCATACCCTTTGACTCAGAAGACCCACTTCTAAATATATACCTATGCCTAGAATACTAGTGATAAAAAGAAAGGTCCCATAAACACCAAAATATTTATAGCACCACTTTTAGTAGTAGCAAAGAACTGGAAAGATGGTAGATAACCATCAGTTTATAGTTGGGGAAATCCAACAATCAACAAACTGTGTTACATGAACGTAAAGAAAGATTATTACACTATGCTGTAAGAAAGATGAACAAGATGAATATAGAGAAGCATAGGAAGACATACAAAATAATGCAAATGACTTTTAATTAATTTGAATCACATCTAAAAATACTACCATGCTTAAGACCCTGCCATGCTTAAAATAAGCCATGTAGCGTAGTTTGGGTCAAAAAGACCTGGGTTCTCTTCCATCTTTGATATTACGTAGTCCTGTTATACTGTGGACCGAGACATTGGACCTCTGAGCCTCATTTTTGTCATGTAGAAAACAAAGTGTAGAAAAACATTCTTGTCACGTAGAAAAACATTTGTAGTAGCTACCTGCAAGGGTTCATAGGCTTTTAGAATCAGAGATTGAGAGCTGGAAGGGACCCCAAAGGCCTCATTTTATAGATGAGGATGCTAAGGCCCAGGAAGGTTAAGTTGTGAGATTTATATGCGCAAATGTATATAGCACACTTTGCAAACCTTAAAGCCCTCGATAAATGTCAGTTGTTATCATTACTCTTTAATATTCTGAAGTTTTTACCTGAAAAATTTGTTCAACTTTACTACACAAACTTTGAATGCTATATTCCAAAAACTTTTTATGGTCCTTAGGGATTATACTTGGAGGAAGTATGTGTTTTAAAGCACCATCTCCTGTGAAGTGTATTTGGAGGAACATATATTTATCAAAGAGGAAACCTTAATTTGTTACTAGTAGAGCTGTTGGTAATTTGTGTAAGCAATTGTAATTTTTCTCTTCACTTTTATATATTACACAGAGAAGGCCAGGCCATTATTTTTGTCATCGATAGTAGTGACAGATTAAGAATGGTTGTAGCCAAAGAAGAACTTGATATTCTCTTGAATCATCCAGGTTAGTGATTTCATCTTCCAGTACTTTGTAGTAATAACTACATTGCAGTGTAGTTATGTAGTTAAATTTTCCAAAATTTATATGACACAGATACATAATTCCCTTTGCTTCATTTGCTTACTATTTTTTCAGTATTCTAAAGCTTTTCTTTGCTACATTAAAGGCACACCATGATTCAGGGCTTTTTCAAAGCTACTTTTGAAATACACTGTTTTTTAAATTTAAGAAATGTATTCTTGAAATTTACATTTGCCCTATAAATTAAAATCTTTGGAACAAATTCTAAATGTTCAAATCCAGTGTACCTCTTTTTTGTGATGCCAGTGAGATGAGATTTTTTTTCTTTTTGCAAGCACCTAATTGCTTCTCCAAAGTTCTAATGAACTCCTAAATCTATAACTCTCCATTGTCTTCCACCTTGGGTTTGGTTCAGAACTGCTGCCTATAGTAAATTATAAATTTCATCATCTCATGACTATATGTATGTATTTTAAAATATATTTTATAGAATGTAGAAGCATATAAATGTTAGGCATTTTTCCTATTTTGTTTTCATTTCTGATAACTTTAAGATAATGACAGACTTAAAGAATGATTGCAGTCTTGTTTTGTTTTGTTTTGTTTCTCAGATATTAAGCACCGCCGAATACCAATTTTATTCTTTGCTAACAAAATGGATCTTAGGGATGCGGTAACATCTGTAAAAGTGTCTCAGTTGCTGTCTTTAGAAAACATCAAAGATAAACCATGGCATATTTGGTAAAGTTTTATGTTTGCCTTTCCTTTCTCATTAAAAAGAAAAAAAGCACACTTTTCAGCTTTGATCATTTTTTTCTGGACTACAACATAGCAGTAAAGATGTACTTTATACACTGACTAGCTAGACATTAATAATGTGATGCTTCTTTGAAAACTAAGTTGTTTATTTTTCAGAATTGTATATTCCAAAGATTATTATGGCACTAATGCAAGATGTTTGGAAAAACTAATAAGGTTGAACTTGTAAATCATTAATTGCTTTGGAAATGAATTTATTAAATATTTGGAAAACAATTTCTTGCTGATTTAAATTATTGAAACTTACCTAACAAAATGTCCCCCCCAAAAAAACAGCCACAGGTTAAAAAAAAAAGTGAAGTAGCCATAGTTTTTCTCTAGTACCCCTCACTTCTTTCTTTTCTCTTTTTTCCCCTTTAAATGTTTTCTTCTCCCAATGCTGTCATCCATTCCAGGATATTACAAAGGGTTCTGCTACAGAAGATTACAGACAGAAAATGTGATAAACAAATTCTATGATACTGGCTTAATTTCAGAAGATAGTAACAGCAGCCTGAACTAGGTAGTGGCAATGGGATTAAAGAGGAGGGTAATAATGTAAGAGATATTGCACAGTTATACTTGATGAGATCTTAGTAACTGAATGTCTATGATAAGGGAAAGAGAAGAGTCAACAAGAAGACAGAAGCAGTTAACCTTTAATATATCTAATAGTCTACCTTTAATATATCTAAAAAAAACAAAGCACCTAGTAGGAGGAGATGGCCAACAATGTTAGAAGCAGTGAAGAAGTCAAGAAGATTAGGCACAAAGTTTAGAGATAGAGATATAGGAGTCATCCTTATCCAGGTGGTAGGCATATGAGATAGCTGAGGCAGAGCATAGAGTTTGAGTAGAGAAGGAGCATGAGTAGAGAAAATAGTGAGTAATGAAGAGAGAAATGGTCTTGGAGGCAGAAAAACCTGTATTCAAGCCCTACCTTTGAGATGGAGTTATTATATGAACCCAAGCAAGCTAACTTTCTAAGTTTCTAAAGTTACAAAATGGTTATCAGTCTGCTTTGGCAAAGTGTTGCTTCAGCCAAAGTTCCCCGCTACAATAAAATTGCATGAACACTTATTATATATGTATCATACAAATCCTTGGGCAGTACTGATAGTGTCCATATTAAAGGGTCCAGAAGAAAGATAAACTAGTGAAGAAGACAAACAAGGAATGATTAAACAGGTAGGAGATTTATGTGGGTGTGCTGACACCAAAGGAAGGAAAAGTATTAGGATGACATGTTCAATAGTATCAAAAGCTATAAATAAAGGATGAGTACTAAAAAAAAAAAATTGGGTGTAGTGCTTAGGTAACTTTCTATAGAATAGTAAGGTTAGAAGCCAAATAGGAGATTGAGAAAAAAATAGGTGTTGTGGAAATGGAAGCAGACAAATTTTTCAAGTAGTTTAAATAGGAAAATGAGGAGGGAAAAGATGGTAGTAATGGGCTAAATGAGTTAAGGGAAGGTTAGTTTGTTTGTTTCTTTGTTTTTTAAAGGATTAGGGAGACCCAAACACATTTGTAGACAAATGGAAGGGGAAAAAGATTGAAGATGTATGAGAAAGGGGATAACTTTTGGAGCAGGATCCTGTGGAAGATAGGAGCTAATGGAACTAGGGTACAAATAAAAGAATTAGTTTTTGTGTGAGGAATGGGAATATCACTTTTTATGTGACTAGAGAGAAGGAAAGAATAATGCTACTGAGGTTTGAGTAATGGAGGAGAAAGAAGAAACTTTAAGTCAGATTGTTTTCTTGGGCTAAGTATTCTGATATTTATTTCTGCCTTAAAATTATTCAATAACAAGACAAATTCTGATACTTTACTAAGTATCAAACAACTTCTGAATTTCTAAACTAAATAATTTCTGGTTTGGGGTGGGCAACTGGTTTAGATACAGTGCTTAGGACTTGGAATCAAGAAGACCTAAATTCAAATTCTGCCTCAGACACTAGCCAAGTGACCATGTGAGAGAGGTTAAATACCCTAGTTTACTTATCTGTGAAGTAAAGGGGTAACATTCAGTGAGCTCATTAAGGTCCCTTCCAGATCTAAAGCTATGAGCCTGTGATCTTAGTTAACTCAGATCACTATTAATATCTATAAAGTACTTTTTGCTGTTGTTCAGTTATTTTTAGTCCTGCCCAATTCGTTGTGAGCTCATTTGGGGTTTTCTGGGTAAAGATACTGGAGTGGTTTGCCATTTCCTTCTCCAGCTCATTTTACAGATAAGGAAACTGAGGCAAACAGGGTTAAGTGACTTGCCCAGGGTCACACAGCTAATAAATGTCTGAGGTCAGATTTGAACTCAGGACTTCCTGACTCCAGACCTGGCACTCTATGCACTCTACCACTTAGCTGCAAACCACAAAGTGCTATGTAAATATCAGTTGTGATTACATGAGAATTGGAAGCTTGGTATTCTGAAAGATCTAATTACATATACCCGTCATTCTTACAGTACTTTATTTCTTCTTTGAAAAGGACCTAACTGAATGAATAGAAACTTTTACAGAAAATACAGCATACCTTTTTAGGCACACCTAAATTCATTGTATGTATTTTTATTAAAGAGGTAGGGTATTTGGATCTTCATAAAATGGTCTAAATCACTTTATGTTTTTAACAAGATTTGTGATTTCAGCAAGGTTGGAAACTCCCTCCATTGCTACAGATCAGCAGTTTTACCTATAATTTCTAGTCTTAATTGTCTGGGGCACTAAAAATTAAGTAACTTGTCTCTGGTCACAGTGCCATCATGTATCAAAAAAGGAAGGATTTGGACCTAGGTCTTCCTTATGTATACTTCTATTTATGACATTATACCTCTTAATTTATATTCTTATCAGTTTTATAACTTGATTGTGTCTGTATGGAAGACAGTCTGGAGAATTCATTGATTAGAGGATTCCACTGACTAATTTTAAGTTTGGTCCTTATACATGTGAATTATCTTTAGATAGAGAAAGGACCCGGTTCCATGGTCAGACTATAACACTGTCCTTAAAAATAAATACTATTAGTTCAGAGGGAAAAGTCATGGACAAAGGACGTTCAGTATAAATCTCTCAGTATAAATCCATTGTCTATTCTGGAAAAACAGCTGAAATTGCATGTTCTGTTGGTGGTATGTCAGTATAGTATAATGAGTAGCAATTTTTGAGGGTGGCAGAACTGTTCATCAAAAATTTAATGTGTTTTATGAACAGCTCTCTCATATTTTACTTTGAACAGATGCTTTATCTACTATTTTTCCTCATAAAACTTGAAGAATGTGATATTGAATTATGACAGCTCTGTACATAGACTTGAAATATAATTCTTTGTACACTTATGTGATTTGTAATTTGTTTTATATTTCAGTGCTAGTGATGCCATTAAGGGAGAAGGGTTACAAGAAGGTGTAGACTGGCTACAAGGTACATTTGGTATTTCATATATATATTCATCCCTTTGTTTCCTTTCTACTCAGTTATTTCTTTTCTAAGTTTTCTTTTGATGATGTCATCTGTCTTTTTTCCCTTACTTCCACTTAATTCTGCTGTCAGAAAAAACCACAGAGTAAGTACCCAGAATCTTACTCCATTTTCTTGTATTTTTGAGGTTTTGTGTACAGAAAAAGTTTGTAAGGTGACCAGAAATGAAAATTATAATTAACATTTTTTCCCAAAACTTGTGACAGTAAACATATTTCTGCAGTTGGTTTCAATTATTTGTTATCAATAACAGGAAAATAACACTAATATTGTGAACCAAATTGTCCTTTTATGAATCTTGCATGCCCTCGCTAACTCCTATAGGTAACATTATTATGAAGAATGTAATATTTATGCTTACAGTGCCTTGAAAATAATAGGCATTTGAAAGTCTGTTGAATTGAATTATAGATGTATTTTTATGCTACTCATCAAGATAGTTTCATGGAGTAGGTTAGTTAATATTATCTTATTCTGAGAGAAAATAAACAGAAACATTTTTTCACCTAAATTTGCATTTTAAATAGTAGCAGAATCTAGTGTAAGTTCAAAGGTACTCTCTCAAAAGGACCCGTATGATACCAGGTGTTCTTTGTCATTCTTGGTTGATTCATTTCTAATGTTTACAATCAATAATTAAGATCTCTAAGATCTTAATTAGCTCTCTTGATACAGTATCTTCCTGCTATAGTCAGGGTAAAATAATGAATGAAATGAATTAACAAGGACTTAATGTTTTAAACCTCCCTTTTCTCTACTTCTTGGTCAGAGTTTTGTCATTTTTCTTCTTTTGCGTGGTAAGTACCGTCGGAAGAATCATTGTGTGAAGAGTAGCACATCTATGCCCAAAGTGGCCTAAACTTATGTTATACTTTAGAACTCTAATTCTTCAATGGATTTGTGACCTCACTGATGTGGGCACTTCCTTTATAGAAACTGATTTCAAACAATTTCAGGCCTTGTGGAATTCCCACATGGGGCCATTAACTTGCAGAGAGACAAACTCTATTCTAAAGGCAATGATGGTGTACCTAACTCTGGCCAGACACTTCAGTATCATCATCTCCTCACTCTCTCTCATTTCATATATCCTGTCAGTTGTCACATCTTGTCATTCTTTCTTCACAACATCTCTCCTATATGTCCCTTTTTCTCCATTCACACATTCACCACCCTAGTTCTGTTCCTCAGGCCCTCAACACTTCTGACATAACTGTTGCTATAACTTTCTAATGGGATCTCCCTGCCTCAGGTCTCTCCCCACTCTGATTCATCTTCCATACAGCTACCAAAGTGTTTTTCCTAAAGCATGGATCTGATTATGGTACGTACCACACACCTACACTTAATAAACCATTACCCCCCAGGATCAAAAATAAGGTCCTTTACCATTTTCCTATCCTTTTTTCTACCTTTCCAGTTTTCTTACACTCTGGTCCTCTATACACATTCTGTGATACAACCATTGCCTACCTACTATTCCTTACACAAAACACTACGTCTCCCATTTCCAGACCATGGAACTGACTGTTCCAAAGCTGGGATTGGAATGCCTGGCTTCTCACCTCTACCTCTTAGATTCAATAGCTTCCTTCAATGCTTCCTTTTGCAGGAGTCCCTTCCTGGTTTCCTGAGCTATGAGAGCCTTCCTCTCTAAGTTACCTTCTATGTACTCTTATGTGTATCTTATATGTACCCATTTATTTATATATTGGCTTCTGCATTAAAAATATAAACTCCTTGAGACCAGTATTCTCTTGGTATTCCACAGTGCCTAGCATCATGCCTACCACATAGAAATGCTTATTGATTGATAGATTGGCCAGTCATTTTACAGATGCTTACTGATGATTACAAAGGTGACTGGGGAAGGGAGGATGTTCCATCAGGATTGTCTTTACATGTGAAAAGAATAGTACTAGGTTTCCTAAAAATGTCTTTTTTTTAACTAACCACTAGGTGTCGGTAGTGATCCAAAATCATAGGGAAAAATACCTTGATGACTATTAAATTGCTGTATTTTTTTAAAAAATTATGAATATAACATTTGTGTATCTTAGTATTCAAACTTATTTATAAGTTCATTTAGGGATATAAGTACTTTGTTATATTGACTTTTGTAATACTAGACAGCTTATATTTTCATGGCTTAATCATCAAATTCATCAAACATTTACCTGGTATCTACAATCATAGGCAATGCTAGTGCTAGATGGTGAGAGGATTACAAGGATAAATAACATATCATCACTACTGCTAAGGACTTTATAATTTAGAATAGCAAATAAGATGTACACATATAACAAGAATACAAAATAGAAAATGATAAGCACATAAGAAAGTTTAACAGTATTTTGGGAATTTTAAAAGGAAAGTTCAGTGGGCTAGAAGTATCCTTAAACATCTCATAAAAGAAGCAGCATTTTAGCTGAGCCTTAGAATTCTCTTAGATATCTTCCATAATTCAATTCAATAGACATTTATTAAATGTGTCTATACTGTGGACCTAATCTTAAGCTGTTTTTGAAAATAACAAATAAAATTGTATTCATTAGTTCACATAATTGCTTATATGTTGACCAAAGACATTTATGTCAAGTTAAATTATGAAAGAGGACATTGTAAAATATGAAGTTAAGAGATTGGATTACTTTGGTTTTTTTGACCTCTCAGAGAGAATTCTTGTTCATTTTGTGACAAATCTTGTACGTATTTAACATTTTAAGCTTCATTCTGAAAAACTGCCTTTTCTCAGTGTCATATTTGTCATGTATAAAATGAAGGAGACTGGATGGCCTCTAAGACTCTGTTCTCTTATGTCCTGTTTTTTGGGCTTTGTGTAACCACCTATTTATTGAAAAACAAAGGCAGCATTCTTAGATACCCAACAAAGTCTACTGTATTGTTTAGTAAAATGTTAAGAGGATATGCATTCCTTTTATAGAACTATAAATTATTCCCCTCCCCCTTTTAAAAATACTTTTTTTTAAAGCATTCCATACTCACTAAACAATATAGTTGGCTTACATTTTATTTTATTATACACTTCAGTGTAGTAAATGCTGCCACTATCTCCAGAGTGATAGCATAAAACTTTATAAAAATGTGTGTAATATGGAATATGTTATATGTACTTTGGGATTACTTAGTGCATTTTTGCCATGTGAGAATTTATGCTTGTTCATTTTCATTTCTTGTTACCAGATCAGATCCAAGCAGTGAAGACGTGAAAAAATAAATGATTATGATACGTGATGATGTTCATAATCTTCAACAGTTGTTTCATTTCAAGGCATGATTTCTTAAAGCACATTTTGTTTATTTATTTTTTAATTTTAGGCTTTGCCTTTGTGTGTTTAAGAATGTCATACATTATTCTATTTGCCTTCATGGACTCAAGAAGAATGAGCTTTTTAAACTTCTCAGGTATTTTGAGGCCATGAGTTATATTCAGACTAAATCTTCCCTTAGCAGGGACACTAGAATAATCACTCCATTAAATGTCTGCATTCAACTTTAATCACTCTTTGGCATTTTAGTATACTTAAAAGTAAAATACATGCCATCTCTATGTCCTGTTTCAATCTTTTTTAAAAATATCTTTTATTTTAAAAGATGTCTCTTTTTTTATAATTTAGTGCATGATGAAACTTTATGGGTTCTATTTTTCAAAAGTACTACAGATGCTCATAAGAGACTGGTTATTAGTATGTATTGAATTTGTTACTAAGTATAACATGTTACCATTAATAAAATATGAAATGAATATGTTAACTACTATATGTTTGTTTAGGCTGAAAAGAATAATGTTCTTTTTAAAATGGCACCAACTAACACTTTGTATATTTTATTGTCATTTGAAACTGAACTAATATTTAAAGGAAAATGTTATTTCTTTTAGTATCATACGGTACTTCATTTCTTTGGCTAAGTAGACAACTTAATTTCTGATCTAGATTGAAAAATTTTCAAGTTATTTCATCCCTCGTATGGCTTTTATGGTTGACTCTGTGCTTTAGACTTCAGTTCTCACCACTAAGCTGCCACATTGACTCCTCTATTGTCACAGAGCTTTGCCATAATAGACAATTATGAGTCACAAAACTATATTGCTTAGCTAAGGAAAATGTAATATATACTGCAAAATCATTATACTTTAGAGTTGAAGATGCATGCAAAACCCATAAATCAAATATAAAAATTCTGTTATTTTGTCACTGATTTCAGTAAACACATTGACAAAAGCCACCAAAAACAGGCAACTTTCGATTAGGAAATTATACAGCAAACTATTTACTGGGGAAATATATTTTTAAGGGGAAAAATGAAGTTTTTAGCTAGGAAATAGCCTCAGGTATGTGGACATATTTATAAAGGAATTATATAAAACTGTGTTTAACCTCATTAAGTGACCTGAGTTGAGGAAATGGAAAAACCAAGAAAGAAAGAAAAAATATGTAATAAAGATATACAATGCACTGGAATAATGAAATAACTTTCTTTGTTCACAGAGCCTTTAAATAAACAACAATTTCAAAACTAATATTAAACTGTTGAAGTTTTTTCATGAGAGAAAGCAAGTGAGTTTTTAAAATATGATGAAGCAATATTTTCTAAGACTAGCTGACATTTATATAGTGATTTAAAGTTTGCAAACAATTTTATATGTTTCTGATTTGATCCTTATACCTGTGGTAGATTATGTGAGGTATGTATTATATAGGTATTATCTCAGTTTTACAGATTATTAACCAGAGACTCAAAGAGAATGACTTGTCCATGACTACAGAGCCAGTAAATGTTGTAGGCAGGATTCAAACCCAGATCTTACTGACTTCAGCCTGAGCCTTTTACCCACTGTGCCATACTGCCTCACTAACCCATGCTTAAATATACATTAGAAATAATTAGAACCATAGAAATAGTGATTTACTTCTGTGTTTCCAAAGCCTCACAGTCTACATATGTCTAGTTTTCCATATTTTCTTTTAAAATTATGGAGAAGAAAGTTAGACTGACCATCAATTGTCAAAGGTATAAAGATCCACTAACGTTGTAAACCGGAGGTCAATAAACCTTTTATATAAAGGGTTAGATAGTAAATATTTTAGGCCATGCAGATCAAGAAGCAAAATCAAGTATATCATATAGGTACTTATATAATAAGCAAGAAAACATTTCCATAAATTTTTATTGATGAAATTATAAAATATTGATTACAAATTTTCATAATACAAGTGAGAAGATATGAAAAGAATAGAATTCTTTTTGGGAGGGATAATATTTCACTTAATTGAGGTTTGAAGTTAGCATTCCTGATCATCAAACTTGATTACAAATATTCTTCTGTTAGACTTGATCTCTTATAAGATTTTATATATTTCATCATTGAATGGGTCTTTTCACACAGATAGGTACTGCCAAATACTGACATCGAGTGACAAGTATATGATTTTAATTGAGCTAAAAGGCTAATAGTCTTAAACAAATTTGTTTTCTCTGGATACATTTCTTGGGCTGCTGTAATCAAACAATTTAATTAACTTGCCATTGGTAAACAGCTTTCCTTGCTTGGCTATCAAATGTGCTACTTGGAAATTTAATTGTAGCCTCATTTTCATGTTCATGTGATGAGATATTCCATTTAAAATTTTCTAATTTTTCTTACCATTGCTTTCCTGTGAGTTGGGAATATTGTGACAAATGTTTAGACTAGTAATGTTGACATATATTGTATTTTTTTAGCTTAGCTATTGAGTCATTGCATAATAAACAGTACTTTGCCATCTACTTCTATAACAAAATAATACACATTCCACTGTATGTCTAAGTCCTCCATTCGAAGTCCACTTTTCTTGTTTTGATATGATGGGTACGCACTGGTAATAAAAAAAAATGTGGCAGTATGTTGATATGCTTGGCACAAAATGCTGTCAAGTATGACTATATCACTGCAATATGTAGTGTGCCAACAAACAGTGTGAAGTGATAAGAGTGCCATATCTGTCCCAAATACTCAACTCTAATATTGTAGCTCAAAAGCAGATATAGATAACACATAAACAATTTAGTATGGCTATGTTACAATAAAACTTCATGGATACTGAAATTTGAATTTCAGATAATTTTCATGCGTCATAAAATCTTACTCTTATTTTGATTTTTTTTCCTACCATTTAAAAATCTAAAAGCTGTTCTTATGGACCATACAAAAAAACCTGGGAAGCCAGATTTCGTCCATGGGCTGTAGTTTGCTGACTCTTGCTCTAAAGCAATGCTTCAGACACCAGAGAGGATAAGAAAATCAATATCATCTCAGTCCTTCATTAGCTGAGATCTGGTACAGGGTAACAATTACATACAGGGAAGGGTAAAAAAAAATCAATAATGCTTCAGCCTTGTATAACTAAAACTCTTTTCTGCTATCGCTCCCTATTCCTTGATTCCTATTCACTCCAGACCAACTTCTCTGGGGTAGCTATCTTTTTCTCCCCTTCCATTGTACCCTCTGGAAATTCTATTCTATATATATATATGCTTATGAAACTCTACTTCTTATTTTCATACTTTTCCCATGTTTTTTAGTACTCAGGGAAACCTGGCCTTCTCCTGAACACACTGCATCCCTGGCCACCTATCCCAGAATTGTATGAATCTCCTTTCCTATGCCCTAAAACACCGGGCCAGGAGAAGGAGTAAACATACTCCTCACTGCCACTTCTATGCTCTCAACTCTTTATGACCAGCAACCTTTCCTTTGAGGTTGATTCTATCATAATATATCACCATGGTTGATGGTGGTCAGAGTGATGTCAGGAGTTTGACTTACCTGGCAAAACTGACTCTGTCTCTCCCTTAGGAAGAAAGAAGAATTACACAAGAAGATGATTATATAAACAAGGAAGGGAGAAGGAAACAAGTTTGTAGGGGGATGGTTTCATTTGAACCTCACATCTGAATCAGAGGAAAGGAGTGCACAAACAGCCTATCTAGATCCCATTCTAGGTTGTTTACTTACATTCTTGGTTTGAATAACTGTTGAAACTGAAAAAGATTCCTTACAGTTTTCTCATCTACTAAATAAAGCAATTGGATTAGTTGGCATCTAAGGTCCCTTCCAGTTCATATTCTCTGATCTAAGTATAATTATCTATGCTTTGCTAAATCACTTTTATACTATGGTTACTTTTGTAGGAATATTCAGAAGGGACCACCATGGCTTATCGAAACTCTGTGTCTTACTTAGCAGCCTTCTACAAATATTTAACATATGTTTGTTGAACTGAATCAAACTGAGTTAAGGATTTTTTTAATGGTTTCCAGGATTTGTTTATATGAAGATCATCCTGACAATGGTAAACACTTTTTTTAATTCAATTTTATTTCAGCTCCAAATCCTCTCCCTTCCACCACTTTCTCCTCCCCATTGAGAACCCTTACAAACACTTCCAGGTGTATAGTCAAGCAAAACAAATTCCTACATTAGCATGTTTAAAAAACAAAGCCTCAATTACACTCTGTATCCATCACCTCTCTATCTGGAAATAGGTAGCATAAATATATACTTGATAATGTGAATTTTCTCTAAGAGAAGGAAAATTATTTTTGGTTTTTAAATCTCTTCTCTTTGAAGAGAGAAAAAGATCTCTAGCTGTTTGATTTAGTGAACCTTTATAAAGAAGCTATTACAAAACAAAGTGATAAAAATGCATTCACTAGCAGAAATGTGCTGGTCACAAGGATCAAAAGGAGTTCTAGGGCAAACTCCAGATAAAGTCAAGAAAGCTAAGCTTAAAGTCTCACTAATGGCGTAGGAGCAGCTAGGTGGCTCAGTGGATATGTTGCTGTCTAGGGGTCTTGGGAACCCTGAAATGAGGGGCAAATGGTACAGGTCTACCAGTAAAGAATTCTATCACTCAAACCTTCTTTTAGTCCAAGTAGTTTATTACAACACCAGTTGGTGTGGGCAAGATTCCTAGTGAGTGAGCTATTTATGATGCCAATACAAGCAGGCCAGATTTTAAGAATATGAGCAATTTAATGGGGGCAATTCCAATCTACACTTCTATATAGAAAGACCTGGGAAGATCTGGATGGGATTAAGGAGCAGCAAATAGCCTGGGGTGGGCCAGTGGGCCAGGTGCAATTAGGGCCACAATGAAAAGGTAGTTAAAAGGATTATACTGAAAGGGGCCATATGCCTCAGGTGAATGCCAGAGACTTTGTTCAGGGGTTTTGGGGTCCAGGTCCCAAAGACATGCTCATTTCCTTTTAGAGGCCCATCATTAGCACCCCATCATTCCTCCCTCAAACAGATGGGACCCAAAAAATCTTTTGAGGTAAGGGGCAAGGGTCTTGGTTTCTGAAACTGCTTCCTGCTGGCAAAGGGTATAGAGCTGTCCCTGCCTCGAGGGGGTCCCAGAGAGGAAGTTAACTGGAACTGAGCATAGACTACATCCAGGAGACAATGGGTGGACATGGGCTGGTACCCACCGTTTTGCTACCAACTACAGGTGAATTGCCCATAGTCTGGAAAACAAAAATCTGACAAGCAAGTCAAGTGCAGATGTTGACTGGCTTCTTTACCTCATGCCACCTTGGCTCATCTCACTTCTCTCCCCACAGCTGCTGGGAGTGGAAGTGGTGGTGAGCAAGATGTGCTAAATCTGGGTGATGCTTCTAGGCTTTCTGGGCAGGCTACAGGGTGCCCCGGGGCCCAAGGCCATTACCAGAGGGGCCCACACCGTAGCTGCTGCTGTTCCCCCTCCTTCCTTTCACCAGGTGGAGGAGGGTGAATTTGAAGGTGGGAGGGAAGGGTGAAACTCTCTTCTCCTAGTCTGATCTGGGATGAGAGGGGTTAACAGAAAAACCCAGGGCTGTTTGCAATTCCTGCACTGAGATACCCTCTTGACTCAAGGGAAGGGAATGACCAAGGGTTGTAAGGAGGTGTTTCAGAACTCCTTGATGATCAATCACAAAACCTCCAGAATCTGCTAAGATGTTTTCAGGCATTCTAACTTTTCACTGTAACCTTTGCCTGGTCAGAGCCAGGACTATAGCAAGAAGAATCTTAAGAATTTTTCTTGGGTCCTCTAAAGTGTCTTGAGGCTAGGCACAAAGCTTTCTTTTTCAAGGTCTTAGAGACTGACCTTTTTCCACTTCTAACATAGGGGCAAATCTCAGGGAAGTCCCTCGGAATCCAGCTGGGAAGATCTGGTGGCCATGAGGCTAGAAGAGAAGGAGGATCCTGCAGGCATAGGCATGGGACAGCGAGTCCCTCTGTGAAGAAGGATCCTGGTAGAGGTAGGAAGTAAGCCTCAGAAAACCAAAAAACACCTACAGTTTTCCCAATTTTCTAGCATCCTAGAGAATTAAGAGAATTGAGCATATGCTTCTGGATAGGGAATCCATCCCCTATGCAGCAGAAGTTGTGCCCAGGTCCTTGGCCTCAAACCAAACTTTGGGACCAAGAGCCTGTGAGCATCAGGCTGGTCGTAGACAGCCTCACAACTATCTGGCCTGAATGGAATCTGTGCCAGGCCCAAAAAGTACCTCCAAGCCTTCCTAGGTGCTTGGAGAGTGACCCCAGCTGCAGAGTGAGAAAGGGATAGAGAGATAGCAGACTTACATACCTTTTGGTCTTGGCTGGAGAAAGGCTTGAAGGGATTAGGCAGTTTCCAGGTCAGGGAACTATATGTTGTGGTCTAGGGGTCTTGGGAACCCCAAAATGCAAGGGCAAAGGGAGCAGGTCTGCCTCAAAAGAATTCGACCACTCAAACCTTCTTTCAGTTCAAGTAGTTTATTAAAACACTGGTTGGGGTGGGCGAGATTCTTAGTGAGTCTGAGCTATTTGTGATGCCAATACAAACAGGCCAGATTTTAAGAATATGAGCAATGGGGGCAAGATAGACACTTCTATACAGAAGTGGGAAGATCTGGATAGGATTAAGAAGTAGAAAGTGGCCTGGGGTGAACCAATGGGCCAGGTGCAGACATGAGGGCCACAATGATAGGACAGTTAAAAGGATTATACTGGGAGGGGCTGAATGCCTCAGACAAATGCCAGAGACTTGGTTCAGGGCTTTGGGGGTCCAGGTCCCAAAGACATGGTCTTTTCCTTTTAGGAGTCCATCATTAGCATGCCATCAAATAGTTCTGGGCCTGGAGTCAGGAAGACTACCTTCCTGGATTCAAATCTGGCCTCAGACACTTACTAGGTATGATCTTGGGCAAGTCACTTAACCCTGTTTACTTCAGTTCCTCATCTGCAAAATGAACTGGAGAAGGAAATGGCAAACCACTCCAGTATCTTTGCCAAAAAAAACCCCCACAAATGGGATCAGACACAAATGGGGAAAGGTGGAGATATGAGTGGTAGGTGAACAGGAAAAGGCAATTCCTGTTATGTCTTTTTCTAAGAGTAAATGTGAAAGAGAGTATAGGACAATAGCCTAAAGGGATAGCATGATCAAGTGAAAACTGTTTTACAAAGATGTTTGAAATCTTAGCATGTTTATAGTTACCTAGGAGTACCAAGAGATTAAAGATTAGAGGGGATTAGTAAAGAGTTCTACAAGTTCCTATCAGAGGCAGAAGTTGTTTATCCTTCTTTCCTGAAGAGGACTATGATGTCATGACTTGCAAGTGAATTAGATTTAAGTGAAGCAGGGCTGTGCAAAATCACCAGACTCACTCTCTCCTCCTGAGTCATCTGGGTTCAGTAGCAAGATATAGATCAAGAAGACTGGAGAAGGCCATGGATGCAGTGGCAGACCTTGCCTTTTATAATC